TTTTAGATTGGACTCTTACGTATTGTGTTCCTAAGGAGCCACGAATACTAACCGGGCGTTTTGGGCGAGCGCGATAGCGCTCGCCGTGTTTACGGCTAGACCAAGGGTGCCCCGAGGGGGCATCGGCCTCGGCCTGGACCGCCGCAATGCGGGTGGGAGCTAGAAGAGCTGGACGGAAGCTCACCCGGGTGAGCGGTACGCGAAGGGAATGACCTCGCCGAGGTCATTCGGCGGCGTAGGCGGTTTTGCGGGCGATCGGCACCGGTGTCGGCTGATCGCATAGTGATAAGTAAGTCGACGGCTTTGGTTAAGTCGTCATCGGGGTCGTCTTCGTCTTCTAGTAACGGCATTGATGGTCCAGTAACTGCGCTCATATCACTGCCCTGCTGATTCTCTGGGATTACATCGTCGTTACTGCCATCATTGCTGGGCGACTAACGCCGGGTGCGACAAACGTAAATGACGACTAACGTCAGTGGCGACTAACGCCGGGTGCGACAAACGCATATGACGACTAACGTCAGTGGCGACTAACGCCGGGTGCGACAAACGCATATGACGACTAACGTCAGTGGCGACTAACGCCGGTGGTGATCACGCAGGGGTACCACCAGTAGGTGCACTTACCCAGCAGCGGACTGCTGCCAGCCTAAGTCTGGAGCCTGAACCGGACTCTGATCGTCTCGGCCGTCACGTGTCACCACTGCTTCTGGAAATAGTCACCAACACAACAAAAAGCAAAGCAATTGTATAAATTAAGAATTTTACCATCGTAAAATATGGCACAAGTCTCGGGGCACCGTTTGCGTTTCCACGGTACCATGATTGTTAGTAACAATAAAATAACTAAACATCAAGTAGCGCAACTAAAAAGGGTGATTAACTTGTTCCTTGATGACCAAATTAAATGAGATCTTTATCCAACTTCTGAATTTAGGAATCAGAAGCGGATTTACTAAAATAAAAACAAAATAACACAACAACTAAATAAATTAAAATTCAACAAAATCCTATCGACCGGGCAGCATGTCCGTTACGTACAACGAGGCGTTGCTTGAGGCTTATTTATATAGCCTTCAATGTGGCGGGTAGTTGAGCTTCACTGATGATTTCCAACACGGCCTCTCCTGACCGTGTCCGTCCTCGGGCACCTCCTCTGTCGCAACCCCCTCGGGTGAGTCTGTGCGCGGTTGGGTGGAAGGTCCCGCTTCTGCCGAATCATCCTGATCGTCATCACCGTTCCACACCTAGCTAACGCAAAAAAGACCGGGTCGCGACCGAAACTACGGGAGATGCACCGGGACTGCTCTTGGCGTGTAACCGGTGCACTTTCTTGACTCCCTACAAATGCGCTCGCCCCACTGCACGGCGAGTTCGAGGGTAGCCGCCGCTTTACGCTCGATCTCAGCCCTGGAGTTTGCCTCCACCAGAACGGTGACATCGTCCGCGTATGCCACCAGAGTAACGCCGGTCGGGACCGCCATTCGCAAGAGGTCGTCCACAAGGATATTTATTATATATTATTTCAAATCTACCCACTAAAACAGGGACACAGAGAGTCTTTGAAAGGTTTTTCCCCCAAGGAAAGACAATCGTCCCCCCCCCCCCTTTCCTGTTTTTTTTCCCCCCCCCCCCCACCCCGCGCCCCGCCCCCCCTCTCCCCCCCTCTTGGTGGGGGGGGGGGGGGGGGGGGGGGGTTCAGGCCGATCATCGGGTCTGCCAGGGCAGATATGGTATCGTATCCGGTGATTTTGGGTGGGGGGGCAGCGCGTTTCAAGGCGCGCGGCACAGTCCCCCCAGGTGAGTCCCCCGGTAACCCCGAGGGAGCCCAGCGAGAAAAACCCCCCGGAGAATGCCTATGAAAACCCCCCGCGAGTTTCCCCCCCCCCCCATATATTTTTTTATGTGGAGGTGTCCCCAAGTTTTTTTTTTTTTTTTTTTTTTTTTTTTTTTTTATTATTTAATTTTAAAATTTTTAAATAAATTGATAGGAACTTCGTGGATGTTGCTATTTGATACAAACTTTCCACGAAGTTCCTTTAAACACTAGGATTTTATAAACTAATGATTCTATACATAATGAGTCGCTTAACCTAGTAGTAACATTAGTGAGAAGTTATTTTACAAAAATTTACAAATTATACAGAATTATTGAAAAAGGAATACAATTTTATATATATTTATATATTAGTCAAAGTTATAATTATACAATACAAAATTTTTTAAAATAAGGTTACAAAAGTAAATTAACAAAAGATGATTTATGACTTAGAAGGAATATAATACTAAATTGATTCTAAATTTTATTGTTTTATAAAGTTTGTTTGCTGAAGGCAGAATTATACAATATTAAATTTAGCTTATTTGCTATGTAAGGATATATTGATAATTATACAGTCTAAAAAATTTAAAATGATTTTACAAAGCAAAAAATAGTCTAAGAACTAAAAAGAATACAGTTCAGATTGTAATTAAAGATTCTACGTTGGCGCCGCTTCAAGTAACTTGAGCTATATTGTAAAAGGAATTGACCGCTGGGTGAGTGCGTGGGAGTTTTTTAAATTAGGTGTGTTGGTGTTTTTAACTTAATTATCGCGG